TACAAAACATTTACAAATTAATGTTTTTTTACATACAAAATATTTATTTTTATCTTAAAAAACGTGTAAATTATTCTGGACATAATATGAAAACCTTAATGATTGATGAAATTGATACCTCATTCATGTGCGTGTGCTGGAGTTGGCCGTGTGGACTATGGTAGGGGCTCCCAGTCTGTAAAAAATATGTGATTTGTCCCGTATTTCCATTACCCATCTCAGAAAAATGGCGGCAATATAAATTCAGAGACTGAACAGAAGAGGGTGTGAATTGAAGAACAGCAATGATCTAACAGCCTGTGAGCCAGTGGCAGTACATCTCCATCCAAACAGGGTCTCTGCATGGATGGGGAAACTGATCCTCTGCTAATGTTAGTGGATCCTGAGGCTCATAAGTAATGAATGATGTTTTCTGGATCCTTTTAAAGCTGCACTACCTGCTGATTTGTATAGTGGACATATTAGGTTCTTGCTTTGCTTGTAAGATGTTGTCTAGCTCTTGGTTTTGCACCAATACTGCTTACCTGGGCATCCATTGGAAGTTCAGTCTAACTGCACTTATGCCCAATCAAATCCTTGACAGCTGTTCGTCACAGATGTGCTTTTTGTCTCACTGGAACATCGCTTTGGACAAAAGTGTCTGCTAATTAAAATAAATGCAAATGTCTGACTAGCATAGTGAACACAGGACATTAATCAGGTAAGTAAAACTACTTCTGTATAAGGACTACAGGTATTTAAGGCTTTAAAAAATTAGGCAAAAATAAACAACATCTAAATGCCGTAATGGTGTTGTAAGTGCTAACGATAAATATTTGTGGTTTGTTGCAGGCAGTAAACATTTGGAAGATATATTACACAGGTGGACAAAAGTTGACTTAACTTGTGTTTAAATTAGTATATAAGAGCATATTATTAAATTGACTTTATTTTAAATAAATACCGAAAGACCTTAAAAAATCCATAAAATGTGAATAACAATGATACTGTGGTAGATGCTGCTTTCATGAAGCTCATTTGAAGAACAACTTCATGAATCTTTGGACAGGAGCTTCCTCAGGCAGGACTGTCAGTCCCTCCTCCCCCACATCATCATAGTCAGTCTGGTCGGGTTCAGGGGGGCTCTCCCCAGGGGGCAGTGTGGTCAAGGCTCTCTCGCCTACAGGGACAGAGTAAGGGGCACAGGGTATTGACAAACTGTGTAACTGGGACTTAGTAGACATGAGAATAGCTGATTGTGAAACTAAAAATTATGTTTATTAGTTATGACAGACACACATTAAGTGATTCAAATGTCAGTCACACTGAAATTAATGTCCATCCATCTATCACCAAAACCACCTATCCCAATTGAGGTTGCAGGGGGGACTGGAGCCTATTACTCAAAAATAATGAAAGATTATAAATATGCAAAAAGAAGCATACAGATGATCTAACCATGTGAGA